AATAAAGATGTTATTGCCAATATTTGTTAATCAACATTTTAGCATCTTGTACCACAAACACTATATCACTGCAGAGGCAACATACAATATTCCATCTCTAGACACCCTATTAGTTATACTGGAATAGTAAACATTTTGATGGTTTTAGTGTTAAAAACTCAAATAATAAAGACTTATGAATCTTCATTATCATCTACAAGAAGTCTACATGGTTGATAAGGTTAGGCTTTATAAACCATGGTCTATGAAGTATACACATGTATTTTCGAACCACTTTCATAATGAAAGGAGAAGGCACCAATGAAGGAAGATGGCATTCTTTTAAAAATCCTTTATTTTGAAAACGTTTGATAATATTTAGAAAATGGCAGCAAATTATATATACGTACAAAGAAAGATTAGTTTGAACTTGTAAATTTCATAATAATTGCCTTGGAAAATTTAGAGCTCAAAGGAGGATTTTCACAAATGCACTAAATTGCGAGATAATTTGTGGTTAAAATTTGCCCTTTTTTGGAATAAAAATATGAGTTCTTCATATCTGATTTTTATTATATCAATTGAATATAGCTCGTAATGAAAAGATACTTATGAAACAACTCGCGCTTGAAAGATATTTCATTGTAAGTTACGCAAAGCTATTAACTGGGAATGTAACACTCTTCTCAAACCGCGTGTAAGATTTTGACCAACCACGCCCCTTTCTAAAAGTCAACGACACAGAGGATCAACTCAATCGAGGTATGTAAATAACGGGTGCTGTAAAAATAATAACATTGAATCAATATTTGTTTAAGATTCCGATTGACTTTTGTTTGACAAAAATTGGAGACTACTAATTATAGGGAAAGAAACAACAATTTTCAAACTGCATTCATTCACACAAATTGACGACAGTACTTTAAGTGTTGGGTTTGCTCGTTACAAATCGCTGAGGAAATCAGAGTTATTGTTGCATTCATGAAACTTTCTATACTCATTTGCCTACAGTCAATCTTAAAAGTATGCTTCGCTTCTGAAGACAATTTAGTTCGGAAAGGTAGGGTCATTCAGTTTAAAAATCATAAAGTGGAGAAAATATCAAGACGATTTACAACGATGATTCTTACTTTCCAACTTGCGAACTACATTAAAATTTTACATGTATTGCGAACGATCAGCAAAGGTTGCTGATGTAGACGTCTGTTAAGACAGAAAATTAAACTCATTTTGCAAAATTTAAACCTTTCAGTAATGAAATGTCAATTTGCTATATTTAAAAAGGAAAAGAAGTCTAAAGATCGCTGTGACCTTCATGTTGCTTTTCAGACAATGATGACATTTTGCAGGCTAAACAGTTAGAACTAACAAACTAACTGATGTTGGGAGTTGATGCGGGTAAAAGGTGTAGTGTCTGAAGAACTAAAAATATCGATGAATGTAAATTAAAACACTTTGGATTGTTTTATTTTTTTTAAATCTCTGATGAGACTATAGTTATACAGCTGTATACTTAAAAAAGAGAAAAATCCGATTAGCAGAATTATGTATATCTTAGCAATGACTATTTGTAAACCAAGATCTCTGGACAATCAGACCAAAGCTGTAGGAAGCGTAGCACTTTGCATTACAGAAAGTCACATTTATCTTTAATATAACCATGACAACCTCGCTCATCAATATATCAATAAAGAGAATTATATTTGGTGAAATTACTTTTGTGACCCAAGTTCTGCTAGTTCTACTAAAAGTGGATAAAAACTGTAGAATGACACTAATAAATTCTTTTTAAAACAATTTTTTTTCTACTTAAGTATCCTTGCCAACACTTCTAATGGATTAAAATTGAAATCGAATAGAATTGTGATATACTACTTTACCGTATTCTATTAAAATCAAAACAGAACTGTAAAAAGCCTTGAATGGTAAAGCATTGTTTGGCTGCTGATCCTGCTTCCTTATATAACATTTTTTCATTATATAATGGCACTTTGATTTGTAGACAGCTTCTTCATAATATGATGATATATTATTATTTTCTATGGTATAATGAAATAAATTTTGATAAAAAGTTAAAAATTAAAACTTTTTAAAGCTATTGATATAGAAAGGGGGGACTCATTATTAAAAAAGTGACTGAAATTGCAACATGCATATGATAAAAAAAAATTCATGCGCCTCAAAACAGATAAATTAGAAACCAGTAATATTTTTGCATTGTCAACAATCTGAAATTTTCATACAAATTATATTACATGTATAAATATTTCAATCTTTGAAATAATTAATATTAAAATAGATCATTGAGAAACCAGTAATATTTTTGCATTGTCGACAATCTGAAATTTTAATACAAATTATGTAATGTCGATTTTAAATATATATATATATATATATATATATATATATATATATATATATATATATATATATATATATATATATACATTTTTTTCATCTTGGCTCCCTAATACGGCTGCATGCCCTCTGACAAGAAGATTTCAAAGATATCTGGCATTATTTTTCCCTCTCAAAATGTTACAGACATGTTGCAAACCTCTTTTCTCTAATGAATATACGCGACATGTTTTCCAAACATGTTTAAATTAACCATTATCTGTCTTGCTTTCCAGAAGCTTCTTTTTAACAATTTTTTTCTCCAAAATATGAAAAATAAAATTCATCAGAAAGTGACAAATAATCATTACATCTAGTTCCACCATAAAGAAAAAGAATTAGCAGAATATAATATCAAAGTATCAAAAATACAACGAAAAACTGGCAGCGAATATTAAAATTGCATCATTTAAAGAACATTATCTGAGTATCAGCAAATAATCTTAAGTTATCTGCATACAATGTCAAAATACAACCATATACATGTATAATGAAGAAGTATCAGCACTCAAGACAAACTCAGCATATAATGATGATCTATATAAGGCAGTTAAGGTGTTCCAAATAAAAAAAGTCAATAACATGTATACTCATCGTATTTTTTTGTAAAAGGTTGAAAAGCATTATATATCTATATAAATTTTCAGTCAATTTCTGCATTGATATCAGATTTAAGCACAAATTAAATTCTAAAGGTCAAAAGAAAAAAAATAAAGGCAGACAGAAGTATTTTTGAACCTTTTAGTTCCAGAGAAACCTATGGTACAACTATTCGGAAAAAAGAGAAATGAATTAGATTTACTGTATCTTTTCAAGAAATCTTAGTCCATTTCAAATAACGCAAAAAACCCAAAGAAAAGTATTGACATCGATACTAACATACTGGAATATTTCCTCCATTTGACGAATTTTTACTCTTCGTTTTATAGGGTCTCTTTATCACAATAAAAAGTAAGCTGCATGAGTAGCACATTTTCCAATTATATTTCATTTGTTACTTTTGCGACTAAATAAGGAGTTACGATAAATGAACATGCTTTTTTTTAACAAGATCAGGAAACCTGAAAACAATTGGTGACCAAATTCTAATCCAAGGAATAGGCTAATTTAATATCTATTTTTCTTTCATATTGTAAATTGTAGATATACTGAGTGAAAATAAATATAAAATGACAATATAGTTCTTCGAGGTTAAAGTTAAACAGGAATTCTTTCTCTGTGCCAAGAGAAATAAAAACTTATACCGTAAATAAAATGAAATTGAATATATTACTCGCTTACCTCTTTGGACTATATACGCAATACTGGTGAATTTTATCATATTATATCATAATGATTTACTTCATAACGCATGTGATAATTTTTCTCAAAAACAATTAATTAATTACAAAGGCATTTGTCTTTCTTCTTTAGTGTTCAACGGACCCTCTGTTCAAATGTAGTTATTTTGTTACGACATGGAGCCAGTATTGGCATTTCGAGGTATCGCCCTTTGGTTTGTGATATGTACTTTAATACTATTGTGCTTCATAAATAAATATTATTTCAATTTTAGCTACAAAACTAGGTCACTCAGAAGTCATTAAATAGTTTATTAGTTATTCGTTTATTAGTTTAAGGACTTCCTGAAGATCTAGAAGTAAAACTGTTTTGAGAGATAGTTTGCGTCCCTAGCAAACACAGAAGCTTTTAAATTCTCACAGAACAATGACCTTTCTTAATCTTGGAATAGCATGAAGAGTTTATACCTTAACAAACAAAAAGTGAAACAGACAACGTTTTGTACATGTGTGATTGATAGCAATTAGACTGCAGAACGCACCTGTTGAAACCAAATTGTCATAGCTGCAGCTTTTTTTTTTATTTTAGATGTTTTTTTGTTGTGTGTAATTTTCTGACCAAAACATATTTCTTTTATAACCGTTTCCATTTTTCTCTACATCAATTTTCTGTTCTTCCAAAATCTGATAAAAAGATCTTTCATATGCGATGTTTTATTTACCATTTTGTTAAAGAAAGAGAAAGGTTAAAAGTCTTTGTTCGGTCTAAGAATTGTGATGCTGTTTGAAAATACTAGTAAACTCCAAGGATTTTTTTTTTTTTGTTTCAACATGAGTATTTTTTAATGAGGTCACCGGAAGACAGCAAAATTTGTTCCATTTCTAAATTTCCACATTTTGATTAAATTTTACACCAATTTTAAAGTACGATTTGGGTCAGAAAACACAGAGCACATGGAAGTCTATCGATCAAATTTACAGATTCCATTCCCTCTGTGGATACCATCTTGTACATTTATGAAAATCTCTGGTAGTTTAGCTATAATTAATGTTTTCAATGAAAGTAACATTTTGCCAATTTTAAAACATAAATGGATTGGACACCGGAGCTTTACCGATATGTCACCTCCATACATGTACCTAAAGGTTTATGTCAAGTGTAAATACATATTCATGTATCTTATATGTTTAACATTCACATAACATGATGTGAATTGACCATATTTGGAAGAAATCGGAAATTTGTCAAAAATCTTTGCCTTTAAGAGTTTTCAGTACATGCTGTGCATCAAGCTTTTGAGATTGAAATTGGCATTTTTTAAATTTTGCCATTTTAAAACTCACATTTCCTCTGAGCAGTTATCAGGACGTTCCATTCTGTATCCATTCTTCAGTTCTAATAACAAATCTCGCGTGTCGATCGTCGGGTATGGTGTTCCGCCAAGCGTGACAATTTCAAACAACAGGATACCAAATGACCATCTGCAAAGGGAATAGTTTTATTTAAGCGATACTGCAGTTATATAAATTAATCGTTTTAAGGCTTTATCGATGATTTCATATGATTAAATGGTGAAAGAAACTTAGGAACAGGGGATTTTTTTTTTACTTTCCTTGTTTCACGCTAAAAAAAAAATAAAATTAATATCAGCTAGCAGGGTTGAAAAAAGACTGATAAAAAATGTCAAAGCCCTTAAGAAATAAAAGAAATTTTGATGTAATTTCTATAATTACACGTCTATAGCTAGACAATTAGGTAATCATAATAAAAACAGCACTTTTACCATTTAAGAATGGTTTACTTATATATAACGAACATGTCATTTTTCGTGCATTTCAAGGCATAATGATTAGACTGAACCCTGTATAAAGGCGATAATATTTCTGAACTAAAAACAAATTAACATTTACCTTAAGTCTAGAAAATTAATTATTGACACAGACGTATTTGCTCAATTCATGTCAATTGCAATTGCAGGGGGGTTTTCTCCCTCTAATGAATATAGAAGCCCCAACAGTAAACAATTATTTTGAATTAAAAAGATTGGAAGAAAGAAAAGCAAACTCATGCATTAATTAACTGAGAAGATAAATGAAGTGAAATCAGCTGATTAATGAAATAAACAGATACAATTAATCAAACATGTAAAGGTTTTAATTATGGAAACACCATATAGTTTTTGACATGCAATGATTATCTTTGAAGCAAATACCACTGACTGTTTTAGTACGCAACATTAAAAATAAATAAATATGTAACATAATATAGGTTATATGAATGCAATTATGTAAAGATTATCCAAAGTCAATTGCAAAAATTCCTAATAGTGGAAAATTAATTTACCTAAAAGGTTCAGAATGAAAAAAAAAATGGCGACCACACTGTAGAAGGTACACACATAAAAAAGTATATACGAGAGATACCGATATCAAGTTTATTCATTAAGAGATGTATTAGACTTTTATATTATACAAATAAATGAAATTATGGCACCAAATTGAAAATAAGGATAGCAAAGAGAATTTCAAGAAGAATAAAAATTTAAACTTTGAATATAAACACAAATCTTCATTATTGAGTTAATTTAATTGTCTTAATGTTACGTGAAACAAATCTTGCTGGAACAAATTAATTAGAACTTGTCTAATAATCCTATATTTTGGTTGCTTACAAATTTTGCTATAGTGTCTCAAAAGCAATCAATCAATCATTTATTTGAATCTCTTCACCATGTAACAATAGTATACAGAGAGTACAAGAAAACTTTTAAACATCAATTTAAAATATTGAACTTCTCTAAGCATGCAAAGAAAGCATAGGAGCAAATCACGAGTTAGTTTCTCTCATCAACATACCCACTGTATATTCTTATCCAGTTTTGAAGACCACAAACTTTTAAAATCTTGACAATTATTTTTCAAGGTAGACAGTATAATAGATATAGAAAACTTGACACACTCTAGGTTTGTTTTTCTGCTTATTAAACCTGATATCAACAACATTTACTTGATTGGTACATATTAAACAATATTGTAACATGTCTTCAGTACATTCCAATAATCAATTTCTTTGAGCGTATCATTGTTCTTCGACAGAAAAATAATTAAATGTATCTATATGTGAACAGTAAATTTTTCTGTAACAAACCAGAAAACAACTTGTTCCAGGAGACTTTTTAAACTTGAAACTGATTTGAAATACATCAGCCTGACAGCTTAACATTATTGCTATATTCTAGCACTTAAAAAAATCTGTCTGAAATATCCAACGTCTATAATGTGGTTTCTTCTATATCGCAGGATCCATTCTTGAAACATAAGACCAAATGGCATCATAAAGAGTTGACCATATCTAAAGAGCTATTCGCACATAGGCTTAAACCAAAGGAAACGGTGGAGGTTACAGAGAGAGTTTTTGCAACTTTAATGATGATCAAGTACAGAAAGTTCTTTTATATTTCTTTCTGTAGGTATTTAAAGAGGTTCATTCCATCGCTGCCTTCTGAGAGATAACATCTATTAATTATAAAAATATTTTACAGTACAACTATGCCGTCAGTATTGGGCGTTTGGGAAAAAAAGGAATTTTTTCCTGTAAATGAAATACCGAAGCAAATTGTATGAAAAATGATCACAATGAAAAGACTTTTGCTAACAAAATTCCGTGTTAGAAATACCTGTAACTTGTGTTTTAAGCCACGTTTTGCAATTTGCTTAATTGGCTAGACGTTTGTTACTTAATTGCAGTGCTAAGAAGGGAATTCAGCCAGTGAGCAGAATTCTTCACCCTGTAGCTTCAAGTGGAAATTCCACAATTTAATTTTTTAAAAACACCGTAAAGATTTAAACTGGCACGGGAGGACGAAAAATAAAATTTGTTTCAATTGGTCCAATATCGGTTATTTTTAGAAAAAAAAGTTTTGCAGCTATGAAAACATTTGGGTTGTATGGAAGCATCTTTAAGTATTTGAAAAATAAGGACATCTTTATAGGGGGTCTTTATACTAATAGAGTTTATATCGGTGGTAGTAAAAACTGTTGATTGTTTTGCATATGTTCATTAGTACATGCTGTATAGAAAAAGTAAATTATACCCAAAATTAATAAAGTAATATATTTATTATATGTGGCAGGTACATGTAGAGTATGTTGAATCATTGTATTTTGATCATTGTTACTCGTACAGACTAATGCTTTGAAAGCCATAGTGTTCCCAGAAATTACTGAGATTTTTTAATGATACAGTTTTAAGAATTAATTTCAAGAACATGTGTATTTCAAACATTTATAGTTTGAAATCATTCTTTTAATACTAATTTTTTATGCTGTGTATCGATTTCATGAATAACTTTTGCTAGTGTTCAAAATGAGTGCTTTTGAAAATCAGAAAACCTATTGTATTATCAAAGAATTGCAAAAGTGGTGATACATCTAAAACACTGAGGGTTCCAGTCTTTTTTTCACAAGTAAAAAAATGTAAAGGAATTAAACAGACGGAAAACGCTGATCAGGGATAGGAAAGTTACATCATTTTTTTTTTCTAAAAATAGTGTTATTCTTACTAACAAATATCAAAGACTCTTTGATCTATAAAATTTAGTGAACTCATCATATTCATTCAACATTTTAGGCAAAACAATGCAACAGATAGAGTGAAATAATCAGTGTCTCCGAAACAACTGATGATTTACAACAATAAATATGCGTTCTGTTATCAAATGCAATGATTTTCAACAACAGCACATAAATGAACATATATAATAAACGGGAGGTTATCCAGGAAAACTGCATGTATCATGAAAAAGTTAGGGGTATTGTCAATCAATAAATTACTTACATTAACTTTTAAATACTAATCCATCATCAATTATCTCTGGAAACACTATAATTTTGAGAGTATATACGAACATATACTTTTGGAATATGAAGCAAAATGTCTGTTAAATATGAGTTTAATTTGTTCAAAATACTTAGCTCTTTTTTTCATTTAAAATTTTCTTTGTTTGCAAGCGTTTGAAATCACAACAATAATTTATTCACAAGAGTAATCGATACTTAGCTATTTATTTCTGGATTTTTATTATTTTTGTCTTAAAAAATATATCAGAAATATCACAAAACTGTATCTATTTTCATATTTTCCTTTCTATAATAAAACACCCCTAGGGAGCAAAATACAAGAAGCTATTCTTTGCTTTAACAGAGAAAAACTACGAACAAGGATTCCTTCGAATAAGTATAGATGAATTGTTACTTAAAATACTCTTTGAGCGAATTATATAGAGGCATCTGGCTTCATATTTGTGTTCATAGCTGATTTGCTTAATTATTACAACAGCGCCTCTTCCTAATAGCGATTCACCCAAGTGTAACTTCCACGGTCTTAAATGAAAAACAAATGTTTAACAGTCATTTCTGCTTTTATTTTCATAATTAGTGCCTTAGCATATGCGATGTGTCTACATATTTTGCTCCAGAACAATAAAAAGGTTTCTATTTTTGAGTTGAGGTCTTCTAAGGTTTGAATGGCACGGAATTCACTGAAAATAATGGTAATGAAAAAAATGGTATCGAAGTATAGTGCTATGTAGTATGTATGTGGCTAATAAGGCTCTAATTAATAAAATTTCCATTTGAAAAAATTGTATGCAAATAACATAATTTAACTTCGTCATTATAAATGGCAAAAACTATTTTAGGTAAATCGACATTCAAGGTCAAAACTTCAAAAAAGTTTATCTATATGAAAGTGTATAAATTTTTTATGCATACAAGTGTCGATTTTGGATTAAGATCAAAGTAATCAAAGTTAATTTTTTTTAAATCACAGATGTTCGTGGGGTTCTTTTTGATAGGTAATGTACTTAAACATTCGAAAATATTAGTCGGGGGAGTTCAAGGCTTATTAAACAGGGTAAAAGCGTAACTTTGTGTAATTAACTTTCAAGAACCTCTCCCAGTTGGCGGAAACTGGGCCCTCCAGTCTTTGAAAATTAATGGAAGATTACAATGTATCCTTACTGCACTCATTGGGTTCAGATTTAATTCAATTTTTCTGAGGAAAAATACAAGCAATCCTGGTTCTGGAAATTTCAACCCTGCTAACCTTTTGCTGTATATGACGCAAAACATGCCATATTCACATCGCACCCTATCTATATTCCTGTTTTTTTCTATAATGAACGTCTTTAACAAAACTGAACTTAAAAAAAAAAAAACATAATTCTATTCAGAATTATTTTATTTTGCTATATTTTATAACACATTTCTTTCTTCGATATATAAAAATATCTATGCAACCCCAATATTTAAAATGAAAATGAGAAATTTCAGTTTTCAAAGTTAATAAATTTCAGTTTCCAAAGTTAATCAAATATGCATAGTTTGAGTTGAAAAATAATTCCTATTGCAAACAATAGTTTCCTTGGTGATTTATGACCCCCTTATCAACTGGTCAAAACACATAAACTGGGGTCTCCCAT